AAGGGGGAGAAAAATTTTAAACTCAAAAGCAGATGGAAGTGATTGTTGATAAATCAAAGTAAATTAATAAAAATAAAAAATAAAACCAATGATCCTGTGCTAAGGTCAGACCCTTAAGGGACACCTACATAAAGTAGCCTGGAGAAGGACGAAGGGCCAGCAAAGGAGCCAGCACAGGACCACCCTGCTCAGAAAGATGGGAGAACAAAGAGAGAAAGCTAGATGGTGCGATGAGGAGTTCGTTGACTTAAAGTCAGGAAGACCTGGGTTCCAGTCCTTCTTCAGACACTTACTGGCTGTGTGACCTTAGGCATATTACTTAACCTCTGTCTGCCTCCATTTCTACATCTGTAAAAAAGAAAATGGCAATAATAATAGCACTTACCTCACATGGTTGTAGTAAGGATAAAATGAGATAACATATTAAAGCATTGGGCAAAATTTAAAGGGCGATACAAATGCTAGCTATTATTATCACAGCATGGCAAGAATATCTATTAAGAGGGCATGAACAATTATGTTTAAAAAATGCAGAGATCAAGGAAGGGAGGAGGGAAGATCAACGAATCCCTTTCCCTCTCTACTCATGTCCAGTTGCTTACCCATAGATGAGAGAGTAGGTTCATCTGTGTACTGTTGAGGAGAATGAATTCTAGGAGCCAGAAGGTAAGCGATTAAAGAAGTGGTGGTATGGGGCTTAAACAGCTGTTTCCAAAAGTTTAGCAGTGAAGGGGAAGTGAGAAACAGGACTGAAACGGAATGGGCTAGAACGGTCAAAGGAGTTCTTAACCATTTTTGTGCCAAGGACCCTTTGGCAGGCTAGTGAAACCTAATGCTCCATTCTCAGAATCATGTTTTTAAATACATAGGATTAGAAAGGGAAACCATATAGAAAGTTACATGTATATACATACACATATATATACACACTATATACATATATACATATATATATGTAGGTATATTGTAAATTCACTGACCCCAGATCAAGACCCAGCTGAATTGTTTTTTAAGTTGGTATTTTGGGTGGTTTTTTTTTTTTAAGGTTTAGGACTAGGAAAACCAGAGAGTGTTTGTAGGTAGATGGGACTGACTCAGTGGCAAGAGAGAGGTTGAAGTTTCATAAGCAAGGATGGATGCTGGAGCAAGGGTCATGAAGGAAGCCAGAGGGAATGAAATCAAGGGCACAGGTAAAGAGGGTTAGCTTTAGTAAGTAGTGATACATTTTTTGTGACCAAAGCAAGGGGAGCTAGGTCTTGCAGGGACTTTTTAGTCTTTTTTTTTTTGCCTCTTTGAAGCTTTTGGCACTTGTTTACAACCATCTCTGTATACTTTCTTCTCATGCCTTCTAGGGGAACACCACTCTTCTCTCATCTAGCTGCTCTTCTTTCCATCTCACTTTCCAGATCATCCAACTCGTATCCCTCCAGCATGAGTATTCCCCAAGGCATGTCCATCTTGGGTCCTCCTCTCTCTACATTCTATCTGATCTCAATTACACTCAAAAGTCAAATTATCATCTCTACACAATTGTCTTTCAGGTATATATATAAAAACCCACCAGCATCTTAAATTCAATGTGTCCAAAGTAGAGCTCATTGCCCTCCCCTGTAAAATGTCCAGTTTCCATCGAGAGCGCTGCCATCTTTCTAGTTCCCCAGGTCTATAACCTTAGAGTTATCCTTGATTATTCCCTTTCCCTTACTATTCATAACCAGTCACTTGCCACGTCTTGTCAGCATGTCACCCATCCATGCCTCTCTCTGCAAGCACAAAGCTCCTACTCTTTTTTAGGCACTCCTTATCATAAGCTCCCAATCTGTTTCCTTGTTTCCAGCCTCTCCCCTTCTCTGATTCATCCTCCACATGGCTGCCAGAATTATCTTCCTAAGGCACGAGTCTGACCATATCACTCCCATGCTCAAAAATGTTTAGGTTAGGGGCCAGCTAGGTGGTGCAATAGATAGAGCACTGGCCCTAAAGTCAGGAGGAACTGAGTTCAAATACGGCCTCAAAAACATAACACTCACTAGCTGTGTGACTCTGGGCAAGTCACTTAACCCCAATTGCCTCAACAACAACAACAACAACAACAACAACAACAACAAAATATATATAT